CAAAATCGTTGACGCCCTCAACGATTTTCACCCGCTGTTGCCCGGCAGTTCCACGCACTGCTGTACACCTCCGCCTGAGCCACCGCCTTCTCTGATCAATCCATGGTGAACTCCTAAACCTGGTGCTCAATTAATGTTGTTGTTAATTCACGGTCCCACTTTCCGGTTTAGGTAGACAACCTGAGTCCAAAATTGACTCTGTCTCCGTCTTCTGCCACCCGGCCTCCGTACGGGCTCATCGACTCCGACTTGAAAACAACTCCTCGATCACACCGTAATCAACGACAACTAAAAACCGCACCACTCCGCCAACGTCCGACCATTCCTCGCCTAGCTAGGGCTGATGCGTATTGTGCCATGCCTCCAACTAGGCCCGCACACGTTCGGCTATCAATCCTGATGCTTGATCAGACTCGGCTCCGTGCTTGCCCGGCCACCATGTAGCTCCCAAGTCAACAAAAAATAACAGATATCCTGCTTTGCATTAATGGCCACCATAATTCCCATGCATATGCACATACACAGCGTCCATGCATAGCTTCCAGAAACATAGCCCATAGTCCAATGCTTCAGCAATCTCGCATCTTTGTCTTCCTTAATGCTACATGCATCTGACCAATATTTGCACATCTTGCTCATGACTCCTGTGTGCAGCCGCGTAGAAAGCTGCCGCCTCCAAACACCGGAACCGGCCCGCGTCGAATTCCGTCCGCACCTACACGACGACCACACCAAGCCGTGTTCCTACCGCCCAGAGTTCGTCGCAAACAAATCCGCTCCGACCTCCGATTGACCACCTGCCAATCTAGCCACGAGCCGAAGCCGACAAATTACCATGCCGTCTTCTCAACCACCGAACAACCCGAACGCTACGTCTAGCCATCTCCCTATCGAACGCAGCTCATCGAAAGGCCCGGGCCACCCCGCCCAGAGTGTTTGATTCCACCGATCGAGAACGCCGATCGCCTCCAACTTCAATCAACCCCGAGCGTCTGGCCAGCCGCTCCCTGCTGAAAGTAGCTCACTGGAAAGTTCGAGCCACCCGCCCGAAGTGTCCAACCCACCGATTAATTCGCCAATCGCTTCCGCCGCCATCAACCTGAGCACCACGTCTAGTCATCTCCCTGTTGAAGCAGCCATCGACGGTTCCGGCCGCCGCCAGAAGTGTTCGATTCCACCGATTAAATTCCGTTGATCGCCGCCGTGCTCCACCTTGTGTCCATGTCCGTCCCTGGACACCCTGTGTAGTCATCGCGGCGTGGAGCACCTCCCTCGTACCTCTACCATGGATCTCCCACAGGCTCTGATACCACTTGTTATAAAAACCAGCCCCGAAATCGACATCGGTAGCTAAACGTGGAAGAAAACGCCATAGGAGATCCAAACATGATGACGACACCGAGGCACGATATTTGATAATGGAGTTCAGCCGAGGCCTACATCTCTGGGGCACTGATTACGGGCGCTCCTCCCTGATCCAGCATATTACAGCGTATCAGAGTTACAATGACTCATGGCCGATCGCCGCCGGCAGCCGCTCCCTCTTGCTATGCTAAGTCGCCATGCGGTTACAATAGGCACGTCCCTCTATTTATGAGAGATCCTAGGATAGAGTCCGACTTATACTCTAGTCCTAATACCTATTACAACTCCTTCAAGACCTAAACTGTAACCGACTACGTACATATATTCGACACAAACTCTAACAATGTCTGCTCATGCGAAAACTGCTTCTTCTTTGGAATTTAAGGAATGATAATCCCATTTGCTGACCACAATTAATTGGTTTCAGGTAGAAAGGTACAGATATTCAATTTCTTCATTAATGTGCTGAATTAAGCAATGGCGACTGAAATGCATGGACAAGTTAGAGTTAAAGATGGGCTGCTATCTCTTCCAATTAATTGTTGAAGAAGATAGCTAATCCTAACGATTGAATTTGATTGCATAGAAAAGATTTCAAATTGATGATATTTATCGGACTTTCAAAATGTTCTTACCCAGCTTCTGAGAAGAAAAGAGGTTTCCAGACAGTGTGGTAAAAGCCAATATATGCAGCCTTACTGCATGCCGTTTATATGTAGTACATGGACTGATGGACAGCAAGGCCATTATCTACGAGTGAACCGTATGGCGTTTTCATTTCTGAACGCTTAATCCATGCCGAACGCTTCGTTTTCATTGTTGAAACACTCAACAAATCTTCACACACTAGATCAGTAATAATCAACAATCAATAAGTACAACATTACTCTAGTGATGATACTGTTTCTTACCTACGTACACTGGTCTAACTTAGCCCTTTAGGAAAACTTATTTCGAAAATTTACCATGACCAATACCTGTTTCAAAACTAAACTGGGAGATCACACTGAGTTCACGTGTTGGTGCCAAGTTAAAGAGCGTTGAATGCCTGAATGTCATGCCCCCGGTAGCGTGGAGGCCATCTCAACTTGCCAACGTGTGGCAAAGCTTAATTTGCAGGACGAAGCCTCAGTACACGTATGAACTTACCTTGTTCTCCTTTTCTACCAATGCAAATGCAAGGGGCACAAGCTTTTATCCATGATCAATCCCAATCGTTGTCAACAAGGTCCCTTTAAACTTCCTAGTTAATTAAGAAAATCCCATCAATCGCAAGAACAAGTCTTAAAAGCTTAAATGCTTCCACGTATTGCCCAAAAATTCAAGTTGCTTGGCCAAATACACGCCTTGCAAAACTGTTCACCGTTCTTGACTTCTCGGGGTGTGGTTCAACACATTAGTGCATACAAGGGTTCTTTGCCTTGAGAGCATTGAGCAATGTAGGCAAGCACACGTATGCCTCATCCCATTCTCTGAATATGACCTTCATAACCGCTTGCTTGGCCCACAACCATCACTATAGGATGGCTGGTACTTAAAGATCAACCCCATGGCTTCAACTATATCGGTGGTGGAGATTGTACATTCAGCTCGGATGAAAGGCTACAACCAATTGCCAATGAACTTGGATATTAGTTGCAAGTCCTTGCCCAATGCCACAGCGCTCCCACAAGTATGCCCTTGGCCCAACTCGTTATCTTCCACCTATTTGCTTTCCCCTTACGAGCTCAGGCCTCCCATTTGCAAGATTTATAATGACATGACACCGTGTACCTATCCTCTGATCCTGAGTACTTGACACGGTATGGGCGGTGCACGCGGATCGAGTAGGACAGCGACCATCAGTACTACAAAAATCTACTTTAGTGTCGGTTGGGAATCAGCCTTTGGTGCCGGATTCGCCACTGGCACCGATGCAGCAACTTATAGGCGTTGGTTCCATAACCGGCATCTATAACTACATATAGGTGTCGTTTGTGAATAAGCACCCGACACTTATAGTTTTGCACGAGAAAAAATAAATTAGGGAAAGGAAATGAATCAGCTCATTCGAATCGATTGCTTTCGAGCCCCCGTCCCCATAATCCATAATCCCTGCCTTAAGAATCTCCACGTAATCAACATCCACACAACGTTGCTCGGCCCTGTTCTCAGATAGGTTTGCACAACCTATTGAATCCTCTAGATCCAGATTTTGTAGACAAATATAATGGAGAGATCCAGATTTTGTAGATCCATTGAATGTGCATATGAAAAGAAAAAACATGCGGAGCAGTCCATCTAGTTCTGTAAGAAAGATTCCATTGTCTATAAATATTATGGACTGCTACTCAAATATCAAATAATATAATAACAGGAGCAAACCTCCTTTCATTTGGTTGCAGTTGTAAACCTCGTCACTTGACCCTCGTAAACAAAACAATTGCCATGTGTTAATATACTCTCATATGAGTTATATCTGACATCAAAATCTTCATATTCCAATTTTGCATAGACCAAGCCCACATACTCCTTAATAGCTACAATAGGGAAGGCAAACATCATGTGGAAAGATAGCTATTGATTTCAATCAATTAAACCTATCAATGCTAAGGTAGCTCTCTAAAAAATTAAAAACCTATTAAACCTATTGATTTGTTAGGGAGCCAAATCGTCCATGGAGCCATTCATGATGCTCACTCAGAAAGGAAAAATACTATAGTACATATTTCTACCTTGATCAGCACAAAATAAAGCATAATTCATAAATAAACTATGGCATATGAAATTTCTTTGGTGAAATAAGCCGTGGGCTCAAGATGGAAATTGGAAAACAAGGCAAGATACAACGGCGTTGGGGGAGAAGCCGCCGGCGGTGGTGCCAGCAGCAGATGAGGAAGGGGATCATGTGCACACTCGTATGAGCTCTTCGAGCTTTAGGTGGGCCCGGATGCTTCGGGATTAGAGAGGAAGAAAGAGGAGGCTGAGGGAATCACAAATTCAAATTTAAAAGGATTCACATATCTTATCAGAGCATGAATAGTGGTGTGATGTAAGAGTATAGAATAGGTATAAAGGTGTGATGTTAGATTATAGAGTAAGACATAAACAATGGTGTGATGTCAGATTATAGAGCAAGTACCCCATATGACTAAATATTGTTAACTGTTGATTAAATATATACTCTGTTGATTAAAGATATTGTTCTCACGTTGGCTGACGCTGACCCAAAAAGATGACGAGATTCGTTTGGATCAATTGCTTCCTTCCATTTCATTTTTGTCAAAAAAGGTTGCTTCACACAATTACACTAGAAAAATACTTCCCTAAACAAACAAATACTCCCTCGGTCCAAAAAAAAAAAAAAACCTAGTACTATAATATATCAAATACTAGTACCAGGTTAGCTTTTTTATTTTTTGAGACGGAGGGAATAGGGAGCATATTCGTTGTTTTTTCCCTCTTAAACAAGTGGATTTGTTCAGCTATGATCATTTTCTGCAACACATTGTATTTGCTGTAGATTTACTACATAATATGATGACAATACGATCAGCTATTCCTGCTAATGCTAATTTCATTGCCAGCGCCATATCAACATATATATTGCATCAATTAGCAAATACCAACGGGGGTAATAAAAAAAAACAATAACGAAAACGAAGGAAGAAAAATAACGATGGCAGAGCAACAGATAGTAAATTTATACACAATGCTGCCATCCATGGACTAGTCCCAACTTTTTAACAACCCTAACAGAACAACCATTTGCTGAGGACCAACATACACTTCTTCCACCACACAAACCAGTACAAGTTCTAAACAGAGACAAACAACATTGTCAGCAATTAGCTAGCTCTTCTTCTTCTCTCCTTTAGATTCGGCGAACCAACTCTTATGCCACACCTTCCAGCACATGGGTGAATACAAATAAATACACAAGTAAAACCCCCCCAAAACAACCAAGCCCCATGTATACCTTGTATAAGATGTTAAAAAAGTTTTTAACTGGCCCAAATCCGGTCCAATCTATCCACGCTCTTCCTTCCACAGTCGAGCTGTTCAATGTTCTTCTTTGGCCTCTCAAAGATGTCAATGCTTCTCCTCGATTTCTCCATATGGTCGAATGAGAACTTTAATTTGTCCGTCTTCTCAACATTGCTATATCTGTGTTCAACACCTCTCATCCTATCACGGGTTGGCCTTGATTTCTCCCTTCGGTCTGTGCTCTTCCGCGAGGGTTCAAAGAAATCAACACTTCTCCTCGAGGGTTCAAAGCAATCGACACTTTTCCGAGAGGGTTCAATCCGGTCCAAACTTTCCCTCCAGGCATTCCTTGGGGATGGTGACTTCTCTACTGTGTTGACAAACTTCTTGAGATGCCGAAGATATTCTGGGAAGAGCTCCAAGTCACAGTGCTTCCCTCCCTTGAGCCATAAAGGCTCATATTTCTCTTTGCAAAGCTCCCATAGTTGCTTACCATGAGACCAATCAACTACTTCATCAGCAGTTCCCTGCAGAGGGAGGAAAGAGATTAGACTAATAAAATATTCAGGCATACATGCAGGATTATGCAATGCACAATTTCAAGTAAACTTGATACTGGCCTATCAGGAACAAATTAAAACTAAAACTTGTAATCCCATACAACATGGTTTGCATACATAACTTCACACTATTTGCATGCAAGTGCAGCAGCAGACATAATTAAGACCTAACAATTTTCATCACTTTAAAAACATCGTCATGAAAATATTATTTAGAATAATCCAGTAGAATAATACTCATATTTCTAATCTAGATAGTTAAACATCATGATTGTCAAATTTTGATATTGTGGATTCTAGAATGTCAAATTTAAAAGGACATATGATATTAGAAATTAGAAAGTCCATCAGTCCATGACTGCTGCTGGGTCAAGCCCCACATTATTTTACAGGCTGAATATGAGAAACTACATAAAGCCCCAGCTTATATGTAACATCAGATCAACTTATATAGAATTAAAACCAATCTGAATAACCAGCTTGCCTTGGCACAAGGCATAAGAAAAACAAAAGAATAACCAGCCAACCTTGGTCCAAAAGAAAAACAGAATAACCAACAGACCATGCAAGTGTTAATCATCCATGCTCTTCAAATAGCTGGTCTACTTAGCCAGTGAAACCATTTACTCAGCTGACTGTTCTGAAAATTAATGCCTTTATTCCCAAAACCCAGAGTATATTAAGGCTGTGTTTGATACTTGGGGTTGGGAACCCAACTCCACCGCACGGAAAACGGAGCGATCCATTAGCGTGTGATTAATTAAGTATTAGTTAATTTTTTTTCAAAAATGGATTAATTTGTTTTTTTAAAGCAACTTTCGTATAGAAACTTTTTGTAAAAAACACACCATTTAGCAGTTTGAAAAGCGTGCACGCGGAAAACGAGGGAAAGGGGTTGGGAAACTTGTGGAAAGAACGCAGCCTAAGACATATTTGTATCTGGAGGATATTGGACAAGGGGTCACCAAGAAACTAAAGGAGTTCAATAAGTTTGGACAACTTTTGGAACTGGAATTTGAATAAGCAGCTGCAATATTTGTTAGTTAGAGTGCTACTAAAGCAACATATTATGGAGGATTCTAGAGCACGCTAAATATTGCAAATAAGAAAATTTCCTGTAACTAGTAACTAGGAACAAGATTCGGGATGAATCAAGCGACCCAGGAATGGAAATTATTGGCAAAAACCAGCAAACCAAGAATAGTTGCGAAGAGGTGCTAGCATGAATCTCTGCATGACGCAAAGAGCATGCCCTCACTTGTGATGCACACCACACTCCCTTTCAGTCTAGAAGAGTGGCTTAGACAGAAGATAGTCCAGCTCTTGCATTCCTAGCACAGGAACCGCTACAACACATAAGCCCTTTGCATTCTCCACTTACAGGGGTCACAAGAGACCCTTCCATCCTAGGTAAACAAGGCACTTCCGTGTTGATAGTAGCGTAATTTGGAGGACTGTTCTTTCCTGCATTTTTACCTCACATAAACAGTGAGACGTCCTTAGGGAGGGTTCTAAAGTGATGAAACGTGGAAGTTGGATGATCAACTTGATTAACATGGTAAATTAATATTTTGAGAAATAAACTGAACAAATAGGTTAACCAATGAAGTAAAAAAACATTTTTTTGAAAAATCGTATTTTTAGAAGCATGGAGAAAATAAGATGGGCCTTCTACCAAAGCCAGGAAATAGACTAACATTGCTTTGCCTTGTAGTTAGCAAAGATGAAAAGGGATTTTATGGCAGAAAGGACAAAAAAAAACTGGATGGCAGAACCGAAGCCCACCCCCCTCCCCCCCCCCCCCCCAACACACACACACACAAAAAAAGGAAAAAAAACTTCTCATTCCTCCCAATAAACCCTTCCACTGTAAGGTAGTATTCCTTAAAAATTCACATTAGCTAGTGCATATAATATGCATGTGCAAAAAAGATAGTAATGTACAGAGTTTCATGGTTCGTGGATTGGTGAATAAAAATAGTTAAGTTATCAATTAGTTGGTGTAGTCATCAAGTTGCCATGCCATCACAGACTAGAGCCATCATCCTGACTTCCAGATGATAAATCATGTGATTTTAAGGTCTGCTGTTTACAGGACTTGACTAGTTATGAACAATTCAAGCTTAGGCACTCAACTTGGACATCGGCCATTATGCCCCATTATGGAGGGAGAGAGATCAGTTTTTCTGGGTGGTGAGGTTGGGGAGACCAAAACCCTACTTACAGTCGTCGTTGCCCAAGAAAAAAGTGTCATCTAAAGCAGAAACAACTATTATGATACAGTAAATGATATGGCATTGCATTAAGAACAATGACAGTGCACCTCTAGTCCCTAAGAACAATGACAGTGCACCTCTTTCTTTCAACATCAATGATGCATAATAGGAATGTGTTTGAGACTTTGAGCTTCTTTCCCTTTATGATCCTCAAGCAGATTAGTTCAGCGCGGCAAGCACAACTAGTGGAAAATAATAGAGAAGTAATTGCGGGTGCATGTAAGATGATGTATGTCGTACAAGGAAATTTATGTTGAATAACCATCAACTAAACTTGCTAGTAGTCAACTAGAAAATTGAACCATTGGTGGTGCACTTAATTAACCAGCTTGCTAGCCATTAAAATTATCAATCAAAGCAGTACTTAAAGAACTAGATTGAATTATAAGACTTCACTTCAAGCTTGGCAACTGCTTGTTCAATAATTCAAATTCTTAAAGAAATTAATGCATGATGGGATGCACTTACATGTATAATGAGCACAGGGCAGGTGACCTGAGGGATTTTATCGATATTCTGGAAGTCAATGGATACCGAGGGAAAGTTGAGTGTTAATATAGAAAAGGGCAGCATGCAAGAAATAATAGATCAAGCTAAATCAACATGGAATAAAAAAGGATAACAAACCTTATATATGTCAAACCAGTATGTACGCTTCACAGGATACATAACTCTCAATCCTGACAGTATAGGACTGTGCAAGACAACAGCTCGAAGCCGATGCAATCGACTAGCCAAATCTACTGTGGGTCCACTTCCAACAGATTGTCCATAAAGAATTATTTCTTCTTCCTTGGCACCAAAGTTCTCAATGAGGCATTTGTAAGCAGCCTCTATATCAGCATAAGTGTTGTGTTCACTTGGCTGAAAGCAGAGAAGGGAAAAACTAAGCTAACCAAGCTTCAGCGTGTTAATGTCACGTAGTATGCACTGCTCACAACAAACTTCAGCATACCTTTCCTGATGATTGTCCATATCCTGAATAGTCATATCTGCAATGTTCCAAAAGCACTATTAAACCCAGATAACAGGAAATTAGAATAAGTAGTGTCTGTTGTATTAGATTCAACATGAAGCCTTTTTCCTGTGATGTGAAGTGTTATGCTCAATCAAGATCAAGTAATTTCCTTTGTGCTACTTCCACAAAGTAGATCTCAAATCCATAAATGAAGCAGATCAACTAAAAGTGCAATGTAAATCTCTAACCTTGTCATGATATCTATTTTTAACAAGGGTGTAGTGGGATAATTGTTTTGTTCGCAATGAATCTTCAATCTTATACAAGAAACAAATAAAGACTATATGAAAATACCTCTATTTAGGAACTGCTTAGTTACAAAAAATATGATTGAGCACAGGTTGCTTCAAACAGACTTCTCATACGATGGACACAAAAACAGAAGCTAAATAGACCAATCATTGATGGCCACACAGAAATGCAAATGATGAAAGCACTAGTGAAATATGTCAAGGACAACTAAGCAGTACCAAGGCACACCAGGCCACATCAAACTCCATGAAACATCACATTCTATGCCCCATATCATGATGAGTAAGGACTGACTGCTAGATGCGGCATAAATGAAAGCTAGTGCTGCTTGAGCCCCATCAAACAGTTGTAATAATTGTAAACATGTGCAAATAAAGATTTGGTATAAAATTATTATGTGGGACTCGTCCACATTTATAATCAGATTTTAGTAACAAACTATCCACAACACAACTTAATTTAAAGACCTTCCAGATAAGAAACAATGTAGCCAAGGTTTCAAGCATACGAAAATTGAAATTAAATTGCAAAGGTTACTCTAAAGCTAAATTTGATGACAAGATTCAATCTAGCTCAAGAAGGATGTAGCAAAACAAAATATTCTAGCGATAAAATGCATATAATCAACTCTGCAACAAGAACATAACTGAGGACCCAGGTGGATCATGAACTCTACAGAACAATTTTCTGTTACATTAAACAAATTATTACCCCAGGTATGACCTTAATTATATTGTCCAGTAGATCGGAAATCTTAGCTCCTGTGAAAGATGAATCATGAAAATGCACAAGCAATTTGCCGCAGGGACGTTTTATGACCCAAGCGTGAAAGATTGAGTGATACCTTCACAAACACATCGCTTTGCACAACAGGGCTACTTTAACAACAAGGGATCATACATTTTAAATGAAAAAAAAAAGAGCAAACTTGATAAACTACAACAGATTTGGGCTTCTGGTTGATACAAGAAACTGTTTATGTTTTCCCTGTGATATAGGTCAACTTCTAAGAAAAGGGTTTTTAAAAAAGTTCTAAGAAAAGGTCTTATGCATAGGTGAAAGCGCAAACAATTAAGAATTAAAAACTAGTATGCAGAAATATCACTAAAATCCAGTAGTAAGTTGGCATTGTTAAAATTTGCAAACAACAACAACAAATATGCGCAAAGCCGACAAGGAAAAGATCATCAGGTCACGCCGATTGGCGTACACAAGATATATCTATTTTAAGAAAAGCTGCAAAACCAAACCCCCAAAACAGGTAGACAGGATCTTGACGGCGCAGCTGTTCAGAGCTGGACCTGAATATTCTACACTATAGTGAGGGGAAAAAAATACAATAACAGACTAATAAAATCTTGAGATGTAAAAATAAAATAAAATCATCCAACGAAGAAAGTGAAAAGGGGAAAATAAATTAAAGCGGGAAATTTTTTTTATGGCGAGCCAGAAATCATAAAGAAAAGTCCTAGGAAAAGTAAAAGAAAAGGAAATTGGCGAAAGGCACAGCCTGGTTGCATCAACTTTACTCGCAAAGTAAACCCAGAACTCGAGGCATCGAACCATCACAATTCACAAATCACACCGTCTAGTACATGCCGAATTTGCGTGATTTTGCTTATAAGTGCCGCAAACCTAAGGAGACGGAAACGAATATTCCGAAAGATGGAACCAAAATTTCTCAAAGACGGGGAGAAGTCATCAATTTCCTAGGCTAAAGGAGCAAAATTATCGAGTACCGCAACATGAACAGCGCTCAAAAAGGGGGGAAATTTTCACAGCAGAAGATGAAATTTCCCATCCGGGGCGTAACGAATCGAGAAAGCCGCAGCCATGGAGGAGCCCCAGAAACCACGAACCGGGCGCCCAAACCCCACCACACAGATTCACGCCCACCTCCCCAGTAGGAGAAGGGAGCAAACGAAGCAGGAAGCAACCAAGCAAGCAAGGAAGGAAAGAAGCGAGCGAGCGAGCAGGAGCGAGTGGACTGACCCGAGGACGTTAACGCGGAGGTTGAAGGAGAGGTGGAGGAAGAGCTGGTAGAGGTGGCCCAGGTCGGCGGCGTTGCCGTGGGAGTAGAGCAGCGTGGTGGCGGCGTCCGGGTGGCGGACGTACACCGCCGCCACGGTGTTCCCCCGCCGCGTCCGGAGGCGGAGCACCTCGACGTTCTCCCTGTGGGGTTGCCCCGTCATGGTGGTCACCCCGGCGGCCGGGTCGTCCACCAGCGCGTACGACGGCGGCGTCGGCGGGAAGAAGGCCATCTTCGCCGCCACGCTCGACGTCACCCCTCCCATCCCCCCCGCCGCCGCGCGTTCGCTCGCGTGCTCGCGGCGTGGTGGTGGTGGTGGGTCTCGAGGGAGTCAAACTTGGGAGCTTCGCGAGAGCGGAGGAGAGGAGAGGAGAGGAGAGGAGGAGATGGGAGGAAGGAGGGAGCGGCGCTGTGCTGTGGTGTGCTGGGCTGCTGTTGCTTTTCCTCCTCGTTCTCGGGTCCGTTTCTTTTCGGTTTTCTCTTTGTTTATTTCCTTTTTTTTTTCCCTCTGCCTCTATGCTCGTGAGGTGTGGTTGGGTTGTGCGGCCTTTACATTGTGGTCCTTCTAAAATTATTTTTTTACATACTCCCTCCTTTTCAGGACATAAGACTTATGTTAATGAATTTAGGCACACATATATGCCTAGATTCATTTTGATATATACATATATATATATATATATATGGACAATGCTAGAAAGTCTTGTAATATGAAACGGAGGAAGTATATAGATATTTGATGATCTTTTTTTTTCAAGTAATATACACCATAGAAACAACGGAACATTATACTACCATGTCTCAAAATAAAGCAATCTAATTTGTAGTATGAATCTGGAGAGGCTTGTTATTATTTTGAAGTATTAGAATGTGTCTATTTAATACTAGGTTGCTATGATATTTTGGGATGAATGGAGTAAGTATTTTTTCCAAGTGGTGCCCCGCGTGATCGTGCATTAGAACTTCCATGTTAAAATAAGGAATTAAAATTTAATTATTTTAGCAAATATTCAACCTAAATAAATTGTTTTGGGCTTTGGAAAATTCTTGGCATTGCCCGACTAGGCACTTGTTGGGGCTTACCCGCATGACACAAAGGATGAGTATGTTGCTTCACCAGTGTTTACCACTGCCAGTAGCTATTTTGCCCATGCTTAAGAAATTTTCTAGATCCGTTACATGTTCTATCCAATAATATATGATTTAGTGTCATGTAAATACCATGTAAGATAGTGCGTGAAAGCCATATTATTAAGCGTATAGTATCAAGTGTGGCACCGAACTTATCGAAAGAGCATATGTCTCAGTTCATCCATACATATACGTATGGATTGGTTGTAAACTAATACGGCAGATAATTTACTATACATGTTAGGATTTCAGTCTATATTTCTAGCCTGTTAGGAGTCCGAATTCATACCTATACCTTACTATATTTTTACTATATTTTAGGATTTTTAGGATGGAGATAGTACGTTTTATATTTTCATAAAAAAAAGATAGAAGAGAGTGTTGCTAGAGGTCCATTTGGAAATTTTAGTTTATAAAGGGTTGAAAAGGTAAAAGCTTTACAATAGGGATTTGTGGGGGGATGGGTTGGGTGAGGGTGGAGCTTAGCGCGTGGGGATGGGAGCACCGTGCGGTGCGGCGCGGTGCCGGTGCGCCTGCGCCTCGAGCCGGTCGACCGGGCGCGACCCGTTTCAGGTGCGACACCGACCGACCGACCGACCCATCCGGCCTGGACGGTGTGGCTGGCTGGGTTTTCACTCGCATTACTATTTTTCACTGGCTCATTCATTCATATGCACAGCTGGGTAAAGACAAGAGCAGTAATAATTGCAGTAGAGCTGTAGTACAAGTTGTACAAGTGACGTTATGATGGGCTGTTAAAAACTAAATGTTTTCTAAATCAGGATCTCTGTTTTTAATACTCTGGCGACATATATACGTATTGTTGGATTTGTTTCAGCTATCGTGGAATGCATTTTTTTTTAAAAAAAATGGAGCTCTGATTTTGTGACTTGTACTTGTCCGCTTGGTGATTTTGGGGTTGGATTTGAGCATTATATATTCCGTTATTTCCAAATATAAAGATTTCATGACCAACTTATACATTTTGATAAATTTTCTTCTAAAAATTTGACAGATGTAATTATAGTACAATCGTAGTGTAATTACACTGTAACTTGTATGTAATTACAGGATAACTTGTATGTAAGTTTTACGTAATTTTGAATTGTTAGATCTATTACCGGATTTCTGGTGAGGAAGAAAAAAAATCACAGCACACACATATGTGAAAGGATTTATCCCACAACCTTTATTTTACCGAAATAACATGTTACGGAGAGATTTTTAAAAGTTATATACAAGTTACATTTTTTTTTGCGAGGACATACAAGTTATATTATAGTTACAGTGTAATTATACTACGATTGTACTGTAATTACTTCTGTCAAATTTTTGGAAGAAAATTTGTCAATAAATATATAGCAAAATTGAAACATTTCTATATCTCTATTTCTACTATTATAAAAATTGAAGATGTTTTTGCTAGCATTTTGGTATGTCATCCGTGTTTGAGTTGGATTTTAAGCTCGTTTGCTTTTGAAAAAAACAAAAGGAGCCGTATAAGAAATCTCTTAAAAAAACTCATGCTAACTTGAGATAAAATACGGACTCCTAATTGCAACTCATGATTTTCTAAAAGAAATATTCAAGCGAATTCCCACAGTGAATTTTTACCCTACCTAAACCGTATAAAAATAATAAAATTAAAATAGCATTTACCCGTTGCGACGCACGGATATTTTTTTTAAGTTATCTAATAAATATTAAAGTTTAAGAAAAAATTATGGTCTCTCCCATTAAATAAGAGGCGGTTGATAATACGACAAGGAAAAAATTAAATTAGAGGTGATTATGGAACAAAAGTAGTAGCGATTAGGTGAATTTGAATCATAGAAATGCTTATATTTGGAAATAAGGAGACTACTATATGATTTTAATATTTAGATGGGCATGAAAATCGTGTGCCAGAATTTATCTTCTGTATGATTTGGATATATATAGTAAGAGTAAAATTAATCTTGTCGGCCGACAGACTATTAAATCCCACGAGAAAAACGGCAAACTAAATTCTGTGGCGGACTTGTGTACCAATGAAGTACGTACACACCTTCAAATTAAGTTGTTTCAGTGATGCCTCCGAGTACGTACAGTGTATGTGTACCAGTTCAAAATATTTGTTTTTATCACGTAGTACTATTCATATCTAGATGCGGATATTATGTACAACAAAATCCCTATTCGAATTGATTTCTTCATACGGAGCCATATCTTCATGAGTTTGTACTGAACTACGATGTGATGCAATACTCAACTCACTTTTAATGAAACGACAATTTAAATCGCTGTATAATTTATGTCTTCTCTGGCTTTATTTTTCGAACTTCACTCTAGGCCATTCGTCCCCGACCTCCATAAAACCCACCTTTTAAGCTAGAGCTGTCCCGCCCTTGAATTCCTGCCCAACTATTTGCTGGTTCACTTATTATCGTTGTTTTTACCGGCACTCCGGATATAATATTTTTATTACATTATAAACGTATACACACCATTGTATCCACCAATACATGTCACACGCTCGAAGAGGTAGAAACCAATATCATATCCCTAATCTTACTAAAATCTTATTAAAAACCCATTTGTATATGTGTAATATTTGTGGGCAGAGAGGATTGCTTGCAGTATTGCATATGCAGTAGTTGTCGCTTATATGTGGGTAGATCCACTTGCCAGCCATGGCTACTATAGTTGCAGTATGGAGGATCCGTGTCCTCGTGGGAGCATAAGAATTTGAGCCCGAGGTGGGGTCATATATCTACGACTCGATCAACAAACCACCAATGCTTCCTTTAAAAAAAAAACAAACCACCAATGCTTCCCCTAATTTATCTTTTTTTTCCAAGTAACCGATATCTATTTCTATTAGCAACTTAATAACTAGAAAAAAATATCTAATCATAGGTTTAACTATCCACTAAAATAATAAGACCCTCCTAAATTAACTGCGTAGACCTTTTAAAGGACTCTTGTTTCGACTGGTCAACGACAACACACAGTTCTGCCATTGCCGATCCTCCCAAAGTTGGCAGTTTGCGAAGACACTCGTATTTTTTCTAATATAAGTTCATGACGTATTCTACGGCATTTTGCTCCGGATGGAATGAAAAGAGTCCATTTTATATTTCTGCTTTAGTTGATGTCACTCTCATCGGCCGTAAAAACCGGAGCCGTGATGTACGTATATCCAGACAATCTGAATAATCAGAAGCATGGAAATCAAAGTTGAAAAGAACGTGATATTAAAGAATCTTTTGATTGGGACGTATCAATGATTGTGATTGACAACCACTGGAGAGGTGAAAGTAAAAAAAACACTGAAGGGAAAATGTTTGTATAAAATTGCAGCATCAATATATCCAGCAATGAGGTTTCAATCCTAACTCATGAGTTGAAAAAGGAGTGCTTTAGATACACTTTATAAACACATATTGATGTAATAAAGTTAATCTATTTTTAAGAGTTTTGTTGATACCTATTTTTCTGAATCCCGACGGTTTGACCGGAGTACTACCGGTGGTCTAATCGGCGAGACCGAGGTGGTTTAACCGGCGGCAAGCAAGCGCTTAGACCGGCGACGGAGAGCAGCAGAAGGCGAGGAAGCGGCAGTCCGACTGGCTGGACAATACCGATTAAACCGGGGACATAGGGGCGGTCAGATCGACTATATCAAGATCTCCATCAATTACGAGGGTTACTTTTATTTTCGCTAAAAGTTTTTGGTTTTTGATGCTCCTACCATTCACCCCCCTGGTAGATTTGTTTGGTCTTATTCGATCCTACATGGTGGACCACACCAGACAAGATAAATGATATTGGGAGAACAAATGTTCGATATTTTTATCTCTGTGACAAAAGCAATATATCTTACTATCTTTTCATTTTCATTTAGCTAGGTTGTCTTGTAAGAACTACATTCCAATGATATCAAAGGAAAATTTTGATTTTGAACGGTTTTTGTTTTTTATTCCGTTACCATCAAAGGTAAGGTAAATTAGAGTACCCGGCTGCTCATCAAAGTGTCAAACTACATCGGTGTCCCTCCCATCCTGGCCTCTTTGCAAACAGGAATGTGCTAAGAAAAATACGAACCGGCCTCATTTTTAGTTCTCAAGAAAAGAAAAACAGACCTCATTTTTGGTTCACCCTATGAAACGACCTTTTTTTGGCTTTCTCAGCCGCCGTCTCCCATGCCATCTCTCTGGCTTAACGGGTAAGCTAACTAGGAACGAAATTGACATGGTCAGGGAGACTCATTTCGCACATGTTCTAAATCCTGTATACGTGCATGTATATGTATGTGTATTTATTCAGCTAAATTAGAAAAAGAAAAGAGAAAAA